GGTGGGTGGTGGAGAACTTCCCAACCCAACTCCATAATCTTGTGTTGCGTCAAACGTGCCACATGTGGACGTACATTGTCGTGGAGAAGAAGAACACTTTTTCGATTGAAGGGCATTTCTGATGAAGGGCTTGATTTAAACGTTCCAGTTGCTGAGTGTAGATCTCTGCATTGACAGTTCACTGTAGATTGAGGAGTTCGAAATGAATTACTCCTTTGATGTCCTACCAAATGCAAAGCATCACTTTCTGCGAATGGAGTCCAGGTTTTAGGGCCAGAAGTAGTTTTTGGCTTTAATATTTGCATAGAGACTATTTTTCATCACCAGCGACAATTCTGTTCAAAAATGGTTCACGCACACTATGCGCCAGAATAGACGAAGCAACATTCGCATGTTGGATACGATGATCATCGGAGAATTTGTGAGGCACCCAAACACCTTCTTTATGGAGTTTTTCCATATTCCTTAGATATTTACCTTTTGTTTCATGAGAGACACGCATTTTCAGGGCCGTTTCACGTGTATGTTGCCTTGGATTAGACTCAACAAGCGTCTTCAGAGCATCAATATCAATTCCAACATGTCGGCCCCTGCAATCACAATTTTTAAGGCTAAAGTCACCTGAACGAAATTTGCTAAACAGTCGTTGACACGAATGTTCAAAACATTTCCATAAACTTCTTTGATATTCTTTGTGGCTAGAGAGGCGTTGTTTCCCTTCTGGTATTCAAACAGCATTACATGCCGAATGTGTGTCTCGTCGTGTGCCATCACTATAAGGGATTAGAGTATACTAAACTTTACACAATTATATAGGCTACATTAACGTGACGTTTAGGCGGTTCGTTTAACTATTATACGTTTTTTGGGGTGTGGTTAATGAAAGTGTTCCAAAACGCGGAAGACCTAATATAATCCCATATACTTCGTTTAATATTTCCCTTACTTTAAACTATTACGCTGTTGATCTAAGCCGAACTTGAACTTGTTGAATCGCATCCGTTTAATAAAAGACATAATTATGCGATGACGAAATGCAAACCCTCGCCAACTTTTAAAGCATTAACAACGGAGACTGATGTACTGGCGAGTGATATTTAACAAAGAGCACATTCAATGCTTTTCTTGATTTATTTAGAGCTTGGACGTTAGTATAAAACATTAAAATGATGTATTGATAGAGAACGGCATTGAACAAATGTAGTGATTGTTCTTCCATTTGAGAATACATTAAAAGGTACAACGTTTTGGGCAAGATGCCATTTATAAGGAATGGTAAATAAAAGAAAATCAATTCCGTTACAACAATTCAAGAAGATATTTAACACAGAATAGGAGAAAAAGTAGTAGTAAAAATAATGACAACCTGAAAATGTTTAAGTCCAGTTGACCATGTTACACATTACTTCCGCCTCGCTTACAGGCACGACGTCACGCTCCAGATGTAAAACAAGACTAAACATATGATTTTTATAACGTTTGTTGTTTGAAATCCTATGGTATGTAATGAAAGATGTTTTCATTTTTGCCTGCGTTTGTTCAGTTTAAGATTTAATTAACTTTAGCTTTAAATTTTTACACAAATAAAAGTTTTGTTTTGGATATACTTGGCATGATATTTACATCCATTTGAGGTTTATTTTTTTATTATGCTTTATTGCATTTGAGTCGGGCTTGCGATACTTGAGAAATGGTAATCAAATTGATCAAAGCAAAATTTTATGTTTTTTTTTTCACCTTCCACTAATTCATTACTTTTTCCAAAATCATGTTAAAATACAACAACAAAGTTTGAATAAAGTCTGCTTATTTGGAGTTTTCTGACTACTTTTTTAGCATTTTTTTCATTCTCTATATTTGTTTATATCAGTGCAAAGCAGGAAACTCGGACTGAGATGATAAGTCGACGGAAGATTTTGTCACGCTCTAGGGACGACTTGACTTCCGACTTCGGCGTGGAAGAGGAGGAGGACGTCTGGTACCAGAAGGATAAGTTGTTCAAGGTAAGGTGTTAATAAAATAGTGCTAATTCAAACATATCAAGGTTTACATTTGTTTGAGCCAAGTTATACACTAGGTTTGTAGTTAAGCGCAAAGCTACACAATGAGCTATCTGTGCTGTGCACACCGCAAGTATCGAAACCCGGTTTTTAGCATTCTAAGCTCTCATACTTGCAGCTGAACCACCGGTTGAACGTTGTAACAAATTCGTGGTGTTTAAACATCAATCTCAACATATGACCGGAAACTTTATCCGAAAAATATAACATGCTAGAACTTTGAATCAGAGGGGTCGTTGTTCGTAGCCCATTTCTGCAAAGACGTACTTCACACTTTGGGTTCGTCTTTGCATTATATGAGTGACAATTAACTCGCACTAATCAGTCAGACAAGAGTAGACCAAGTGTTGGCGGTGGGTGCTATTGACTAGCTGCCTTCCTTCTTGTCTATTAGTTCAAATTAAGGACGGCCATGCGTAGATAGCCCCTTTGAGTAGCTTAGCGGAAAAATTCAGAAATATACTGGCTAATAATAATAAATGACTGGTATTTTAATTGTTTTGGTTATCAGCCCACTCCCATTTACTGGGTGTTTTTTCTACAAAGAGTTTTGAATGCGATATTTATTAGAGTATCTACATAGGGTTAGGTGTTTGGTAAATAAATTTCGTTTCTAGTAATTCCTTAGTGGGATCTCTGTAAAGAAAAAACTTCGAGTAAAAACAATGATGAATAATTTTACTTCTTTTGTTTACAACTCGTTTCATTATGTTTACTTAGTAAGTTTTTTTAACTTAAACAACTAACCTGTTTTGGCTCGTTGTAAACTTGATGCAACCTACTAACACAATATATTAGCGTATAAGATTCTTTACAGTGGCATATTCAACAGAAACAAACATTGGCCCTTCATAAGGAAAACTTATTTAATCATCTGTGCAAAGTAATCTGTTCGCCACCATGCAATATGTTTCTATAAGTTTTAAAATTTTGCAAGCAAATGAAAATCGTGTACAGTTACTGAGGTTTTAAATATTAAACTCAGTTTTAAAATGATACGAAGATAAACATGCATGCGTTTTTAATTAAGACGATTTAGGTATTCTTGGAGAAAACTCTTCGTTATTACTTAGGTCTATTAAACCAAACAAAATGTTTGAATGTATTTTCGAAACTAAAATCATCTGCTTTTTACAGCCATCGAAACCAATAAACAAGTATTCCTGGTAGTTTAGTTTTCTAAACATCTTAATAAATAGTCACTTAAAATAATCGCCCAAAGTTTATAGATTTTATAAAATATATTAGATTCTAATGTTTTATTTACGTTAATATTGATGACCCAGTGACTTAAAGGAGTTTGGTACAGTTGTATATGCTTATTTATCACTGTGTCTGCGAGGTAATCTAAGTGTAATTAAGGTCATAGTCACAATGTTAGCAGTAAGAACTTTCCTTCGTACTCCTTCTGAAGTAACAGGCTTTACCACACAACATCTAGTTAAGTAAAAGATGGTTGAGTATAACGAACTACACACAGCTTTTTTGTTTCTCATTTCTTGATAGTGTAGTTTTTCTCATGGAAATTTAAGACTAAGGTTAAAGGTTTTTAATGGAAGCTTGAATAGCGTATATGATGTTTAATCAAGTGTAATTTAGTTTGCCCAGTTTGTGTTTGCCAAGACCAAAGAAGAAGCTGTTACACGCAATTGTTTTACCAAACTTTCACCATTGATGTAAATATGCAGGTAGTGAATATAGGTTAAGCTTTATTATTGTCACCGGTTTCGTAAACTGGTTTCCTGGAAATGCAAGTCTAAAGATTGAATATGCATTACCATCTGAAAGCCCCTCTGATTTTTACTACAGCTCAAGTTTTGTATATTCTATACTTTTAGATGTTATTGTACGCAGGCTAGTCTTTTAAAAAGTAAAATACTCGCTACCCATTACTGTACGCAGGTTAATCTTTTAGAAAGTAAAATATTCGTTACCCTGTAGCTATCCAAGAATAATCAGTATGAGTATATGAATGTTTTCGCGTTTCTCCACTTTGTACCTTAGGTTTCGTTCCAAACTGGAGGAAGAGGGATTTTCAACCTGTATTTCTTGTAGGTATAGGAAGAATAAACACACAGAATATTGATTAATTATGTATTCAACTTTGTTGTGGGTTTTCCAGTCACTTGGTTAACTAGAGAAAAGTGCCATTCTCTACGTATGCGTGTGAATGGACTTAAAAACCAAGTAACATTTGTTTTTGTGTTGTAAATTGCACTTCCTACATATATAAGTAGCGATGTGTCATTCGAATATAAGCTTACTGTGAGAAAATAACTTAGTTAATAGATGACTTAGATTTTAATTCTACAATCAGTTATGCTACAGTGGTCCTACCACTACAAGTACCCTTACATTTCATGTTAAGCTTAGGTTTGCGAGACTAACTAAATTTTCCAGGTGTTGCACTTCATCAGTAAGTAGGTTTACAGTGACAATAATTGAAGCCGGTGCTTTCCTCACCAAATACTTTATCATTCTCAGCCTTATGTATTTCGGCTTAAAGGGAATTAAAGTGGTTTAGTTTTCGTCCAGTATTCTAAAAATGAAAATCAGTAATAATAATAATAATGTAACATTTAGGTATCTAAACATAATTTTAAATATGCCATTGTTAAAATTAACTTGGCAAACATTACTTTCTTCACACGTAGGAAGGATTTTGTTTCTTTTAAGTTTCATACTTTTTAATTTTTAAAGCTCTTCCCTTAAACAATTTTGTCATAAAATGTATGAAGTGTAGAGACAACTGTGTCTCGAACAAGTGATATATTAGATATTGATACAAATGGACGCCATCTTCCTGTCTAAAGAATCTTTTGTTTATCTAACTGTACATATTACTGTATGGGTGTATATAGATGGGATGAATGATTAAAAAATTCGTAACATTTTATCTCTTGTTGTTTTCAGCTTATCGTATTATATTATCGTACCACATTTCAGGTAATCATATCAAATATACAATGCATTGCATGAAAATTAATTTTGATAGATTGTATTCTCTCTCTTTATATATATATCTTTGTATGTGTGCTTTAATGAAAAGAAAAACAAAGAGGGCATAATGTTGGAAGAGTGAGAGAAAACTCAATCGAGAAAATGATACAATACTTTCTGCTAGATTTCTTCCCGATATTGTATTTACTATTTAACTATTTTCCAATTACTCATCTCTCGTATTGCCAGGAGAACGTGCTTCACCAATTTATATACGTTTATATATATATTTATATTAGCTAATAAATAATCAATGTATTGAAATATACAATTATTTCATGTCTTAGTATTAAAATTTCATGAGACCAGTGCTACCAGTGTTAATACTTTCAAGAACTCCTGTTTTTTTTTTGTTCTGCTCGAAAGGTCTAAGCCCTATCTAATATCTATGTATGTATGTATATTTATGTGTGTGTATATATACGTGTTCATATCTGTATACATTTATAGACCATGTACCTGAAAATATATACATATATTAGTCATTTCTTCCATCACCATATCTTTTCACGCACGTGTTTATATATTTATAGCCGTTCAGATACAGATAATGCGCAACGGACCTAAAAAATGTAATTTTTTGTGTAAATTCGCGGAGTTGCTTACATGCAACCTAAATTTACTGCGTTATCTGCTTGTTCTCAATCAGCTCATGGTTCTAGCTGGCAGCTTCACGCACTGAAACAAGACGCAGTGTACCCCCGGGGCAGTGTTCAATATAACACCCAGAGAAAATGTAGTGTAGATATCAGATCAAGGCGTTCGTTAATGCAGGGTATGTGAGCGCTACCAACGCTACGTCGACGTCTAGGTTACCGTTGAACTATTGGATATGTTTTTTTTATCTTCATCATGAATTATTTGTACAAACTTGTAACAAAATTATGAAATGCAGTTTAGATATTAGTAGAAAACCAAAACAGAATGTTCTGCTAATTTCTAAGCATGGATATATAAACTTGATGACCAGTGTATATTATTTAGAGGCTTCTATGGACTCTGGGAATTAAACAGAAGAAAGTGAAATGTGGGCTAGTAACATATTAACTATAACGGGAGTTCACTGAACTGCAGAATATAAAAACTCGTAACGCAAATAGTTGTAAGTGCCCTCTAAATTTAATGACGTATAAATACAAAGGTAACTGTAAATTTCGAGTCTTTTAATTATCATTAACTAAAATTTTCTAACTAAGCACGACATTATAACGCTAACTTATTTTTCTATCTTTGGGTAATCATCGGTTAGTTTGTTATCAGTTTTATTATTAGATGTTTCTCAATCCAGCAAGTGATCTTGTCTCTTTGTCTTATTTCTGAATGGTTTTATCCTTTGACACTCCAAAGAAAGATCAATAAACGTTCAGATTCGAACAGTATATTAGCTAAATAATATATTGTTGTATATTTTTTTATGCTTGTTGTAAATGGCTTGCTTTATAGTTAAGTCCGACTATACTTTAGTCTTAGCTTTGTAAAGAACCTCGATACCATTCAGTAAAGCATCCTATCCAAAAGTCATCATCTCGACATTAATATAAAAAAATAAAGAATTTGGCTTACTTCATTTATATGGCAACAAAATTTCAATAAAGACATATTTCGTATGATCACAAAAATGTGTTTGGATGAAATTCATTGCAACAAAATTTCAATAAAGACATATTTCGTATGATCACAAAAATGTGTTTGGGTGAAATTCATTGCAACCATTTTTTTTTCTGAAATTTAAAAGGAGAAATCCAGTTTTTTGAAAGCGCTTGTTAAAATCACTCCAGTTGATACCTTACAACATACATAAGTACAAATAAATGATCGGTAGACTAAGATATTTGTCCTTGTATAAAAAAAAAATATTAGTTGAGACATTACAACATACATTTCATATTTTCAAATAAAGCACCAGTAGCCTAAGATCTTGGCCTTATCGTCCTTGAACTATT